ATTCTTGAAAGAATTAGTATAAATTCCCGGTATATTTTTTTAGTTTAAACTACGGTGACATAGTTGCAGTTTTGAAAGGGACAGATTTACTATGTAGAACATATGCTGATTGCAGGACAGTCATGCATGTTCATCTCAACGAAACGCTAAATAACTACATACAAACAAAGTTACGTTTTTGGCAAATTAGGGTCTAATGTAAACACTCTGTCAAAAATAAATATACGTACACATGCTTGTTATCATGTTCTTATATTTTATATGATGTTTGATAGTTAAGTCTTGTTAGCAAAGTTGTTAGCAAAGTTTAGTTCATAAGTTATTTTTTATGTTAGCTTATTGCTATAGTACAAATCAAGTTTAATTTTCTTTAACATCTTAATTAGATCTTTGATTTAATTATTATTATTGTAATTTATATTACATTTTACATGACCCTTGGAAATAAAGGTTATTCTATTCTATCTTATTCTATTTTATCTTATTCTGTTTGTACTGTTTATTTAAATATGCTTAGTTTCTTTTATTTCCTTTTCTTTCAATAGAATTCTTTAAATAATATGATATGGGTTTGTGATCACGTGACATTTGTTAACGATAAAAATGAGTCACTGCTAATGGATTTTGCTAATTTTTCGTCATATCTTTCAGAATGTGATAAACATAAACCATGTCCCAGACAAATATATTTTATGATTCAACTGATATTGGATAAGATATATGAAACATATTGCTGTATGACAGCTGTAAAAAAATACCCAGTACTTAACTTCAGTGTTGTTTTATTTTTCTGGTCCTTCGGGATCATTGATTCCAAACCTTTTAAGTGTTGAAAATTGAGTATCGCTCAAGTCGGTGTTAGGGGGTATGAGGATGTTGCTCTTTATCATTATTTGTCATGTACAGACTCAGTTATTGAAATATTTCTATAAATAAAATTTATTTTCTGCAAGCATAACGACATACAAGAGAAAGTTATAATTATACGAGGAGCATTCAATATTTAGTGACGGGCCTCATTTTTCTCTAAGTATATTTCGTGAATCACGTGCAAAGTTACATTATGATACGCTTCAACTCTTTATCTTTCCAACGGTGTATTATACATGTATCTCAATTCACACACGTTTTAAGAAAATTAGTGTTGAAAGTTGAATATCCGATCAACTGCGTATAAAAATGGCTAGAAAAGATTCAGTAAATAATGTTGAAATTCGAGCTTACATCAAAGAGCGTATGACATTTGGGTTAAGTGGTGCAACTATTCATAAAGAACTTTGTCGTATTTATTGACCATCTGTGGTTAGTGAAAGGACAGTTCAAAGATGGATTGTTAAGTTTAAAAGTGGAACGGAGTCACTAAACGATGCTAGTGGTAGGGGAAGAAAACACACAGTGGTCACCAAAAAAAACATTAAAAAAGTGCAAGAACTCATAAACAAAGAAGCTCGATATACAGTTTTTGAAGTAGCTAAGTATACTGGCATTTCAACGGGAAGTGTATTTACGATTCTAAAGAAGCACCTCAAAGTTAAGAAGATTGCAGCCAGATGGATACCACATTTATTGACTGAAAAGCAAAAGCAAGAGCGTGTAAAATGTGCCAAGAAATTATTGAAGATGTTTCCCAAATATAACGATCGTAAATTTTCTAACATTGTAACTGGAGACGAAAGTTGGTTCCACTTTTTTGAGCCCACACGGTAAATAAGATATGGGCCAGCAAACATACCCGTAGGCCCTGTATAGCTAAAAGAATGACTAGCACAAAAAAGGTTATGTATGCCATGTTCTTTGGTATACATGGTTTAGTGACACAAGTTCCTATTCCAAAAGGTCGTACCGTTACTGCAAAGTTTTACAAACGAATAGTGTTAAACAAAGTTGACAAATATTATCGCAAACGTCGTCCAAATACTGGTATGAGAGGTCTGTATCTACTCCATGACAACGCTACTCCACACAAGGCAGACATTGTTAAGAAATTCTTGGAGAGCAAACGTGTAACTGTGCTTAATCACCCACCATACTCGCCAGATTTGGCACCCTGCGATTTCTTCCTGTTTCCAAGATTAAAGAAACACCTTCAGGGTCGCCGTTACAGCACCAGAAATGGACTTGGTTCAGCATTACATCAGTTGTGTAGGGGTATACCTCAAGAAGACTATAAAAAAGGCATTTCAAAATTGGATCAAACGTTTGAAACTTTGTATATTGTTCAAAGGAGATTACTTTGAAGGTTTAAAAAAATAAAAATGGTAGTTGCTTTAAAAGTTTTCATTTTCTATAGCCCCGACACTAATTATTGAATACTCCTCCGTATATCATTGGAATCGGGAAATATCAACCTAACGTTAGCGTCATCTATTACTCCAGGAACATGTTTTGTTTCCCGATATTTATATTTTAATTTTTATTATATCAAAGATCCTGTATGATGTAATTAAGGTTGTAACTGCAATTAAGTGAAATTCTATGAATGTATATAATTATGCTTCTAAAACAATTTTCAAACATCGAAGAATATGTAAAATATGTCCTGCAAATATTTCCACATTTTATGTTATCATTTAAATATATGCATTCATTTCTTATTGAGAAAATTGACTTAGACTTTATAGAATATAAATTTCTAATTACCTCCCTTTATAAACATGAAAATTTTAATTCGATAGTATATTTACAAAAAAATGCTTTTGGAACTTACAATATTGATAAATCTTCATTTGAGCATTATATTTCTGATAAAAAAAACATTAAAAATTAGTTACAGGATCTTTAAAATATGACGTCGGTGTTATATTTTATGACACTGATGTTTGTGCCAAACGTCGGAGTTCGTATAGTGCATGTATATTACAGCCATGATGGCCAATTTGAAGTACTATTGAGTTTATTGTAAAACTTCGTTGATGTTAAATTTGCTTCAAATAATGACTTTCTTTGCACATTTGTTTTGTGCCGTGTCGTATTCCGCTCCGCGGGACGCCAGACGAAATCAAACAACCTCTTTGCAGAATTTGATGTGTTCGTCTGGCGACCCGCGGAACAAAAGGCAAAAGCACGAATTTACAAAAAAATGGTGTTCACTTTGTAGTATTTTCGTAATTTCGCCAGGCACAAATCAGCTACCATGATGAGACTGTTTGAGTGATGGAAATACGCTACCTCCGTATTGCGTTATTCGGCTTCAAGTAAAATAGGTTTGGCTTCTTAATGCAAAATTGTTCCATAGAAATTTTCCTTTGAACTACATTAAATCGAAAGTTCGTGAATGACGCTTCGACCTTTCCATTCCTGCATATTAACGTCAGTATATCTAAGGCAAATGTGAAACATTATAACATATTGATTAGTCAGTCACGTGATTCTTGAAATAGGTAAGAAAAGTAGATCATAAAGTTGTGTCAAAAGACATACGTTTTATAGTTAAAGCCTAATAACGCACGTCATTATGGCACAAGAGTATTCATATAGGAAAAATCATGTTACGCCTATTAATGTATATCTAATGTCTTATAACTTATGACTTGTGTCACAGACATTTCGGAAAACATAACCCTATTCTACAGGTATTCATTCTTTCTTTTGCTTGTCAGAGACTCAGCCAAATATCAAAATGTAAAAATAACCCTGATTGCTTTTTTCACGCATGAGAAATGTGGTGATGAATACTGCAAAATAAATCATTCATCGCACAGAATATGTACATCTTAACTTGAATATTGGATCGTTTTATTTTTCTTAATATCTTTGTTTATTTTATGCTTTTCAGTGGATTACTGATTTATCCGTGAAAATTATATTTGATAATTTCACAGTGTAAATTATCAAAATATAATTTCACACTTTTCAATGACGAAACTACTTTTTTAAGATTTTCCCCATGTGGTACCTCAATTTTATTTTTACTGACAATTCTGACAATGTCAGGCTGTTTAAAGAAAAGGCAAAGCTGAAATTGATAAATAACTTAAATGTCAAAAGTAATAAAAAGAAGAAAACTTACTTCTATTTATTCAAATTACAATCACCCAATTTCGTCTCTAAATGTTTTTGTTTCATTTTTACAGTCTGAAAAATACATTCCTTCCACATGCAAAACTGCTCTTGGTGACATTTGGGCATATTAAAGTATCCTACGAGCAATAACTGCCGTATGCTTTATGAAAAATTGAAAAGCAATGACAGCAATCAGCCGAAAAATAAGTAAAAAACCCAGCGTTCCTGAGCCAGCTTCCAAGTTTTCCATTTTCCTAGCTGTTTTTTAATGTTTTCACATCTGTCAACACTTATTTTCTGTCTGTTACAATCCTCAAATAAGTTTTCTTTCTTTTAAAAAGGTGTATGACTAACAAATCCAAATGATATCCCTCTGAATCAAACACAATTATTTTTCCCCGTGAAATACACAACTTTAAAAAATGGCTTCCGCTCACATTTAACAAAGCCAGGTCTAATATAAATTTGCAGTAAGTAACAGAAATTTGGATGGATGGTTTGACTTTTTCTCCTACAAGAATTGTTTGTTTTTATTATTAAAAGAAGCGAACATTCATATTTTTTTAATAAAATGAATAATATCACCGTCATTTAACGTTGATTGCCGAACTTATTTTCAGCTCAAGACTTCTTGTATTTAATGAGAAATTCCGACAAAATGGGGCTCTCAATGGGGAAAACAGATTTTAATATTAACGTTAATATTATATAGAAATTTCGTTTTAACTTGTTTTTAAGCATAAAATAAAAATAAAATTTGTTTTTTTGTTTTGTAACATGTAATGTAATTTTATTTCATCTCGCGAACTTTAAAAACAGTATTCTCACGAGTGGCGTATACTGTTTTTGAAGCCCACTCGATGAAATAAAATTTAATCTTACACACAAACAAACAAATATCCTCTATACATATCTTTCAAGTTTGATTTTCTTGAAAAATTTTGCTCATTTGAAGGCTTTGTTGGCCAAAGGTTTTTACAGGAAAACTGACAAATACATCGATCTCTACTTAATTTTATTAGACATATTATCAACAGTTTTTGGTCCATTAAATTTTTTTTGATAATTAAAAACATTTATAATGAATTTATTTCTTCTAGACTAAGCATGCTTTATGATGCCGGTGGCAGACAGACAGTGCCTTCGTGAACTGTTTGGTGATTGAAATGTAGCACGGAGGCACCGCGGCATTCCAGGCCAGACTGGCATGGACAGTGGAAATCATGTGTACCAAAATCTGAAGAACATAAATGACAATCATTATGATTTGCGTTTGTTATATAGTCAAACCTGTGCCAAAAGACCCACTCCGAATAATAAAATGTAAATATAGACCACTCTTTGTAAACCTATACTGATTGCAATTGAACAGAGTCGCCCTTAAATAAATACCACTTGTAAATAACATGTTCGGTCTCTACTTTGAATGGCTTTTGTTCACAGATTTGACTGTTGCATGAAGCGAATTATTATTATAACAGCAAAATGATTTAGAAAAACATTGAAATTGGTAATAACAGACATCACATAAATATGTAAAGGTTCACATGGTGGATATAAATTCATGGAACGAACGTTATAATACGAGGGATGATCAAAAATAAACCGGACTTTGTAAATGATTCTTTGACGTTTGTACGCACACCAGGACTGATGCTATTTCCAGTAACAGAATAGAAATGCAGATGTTAATCTTACGTTATTAGTTTGACTTCCTGTAATATAAACAGGGATTGACTGAATATAAGAAGAATTTTCATCGGTCATTATAAAATTGCAAACTGAAATCGGTGAATCTCCTTGGTCATTCTAAAATAAATGTAAAGGATAGTTTTTACCATTCTAAAATTTAACTTTTAATGATAGATCTACATTAAGGGATAGCTCTTGTGGTTATAAAATAGAATGTAAAGGATAGTTCTAAAATTAAATATACAGGAATAAGGATAGTTCTTTAGCTTTTAGATTAAGTTGTAAATGAATACAAAATTTATAAAATCAAACATAAAACAAGTAAAAGGGACACCTAAAGTAAAAGTTGTCCTACTAATATCAATATGCTATAATTTAATTTAAATGATTACAAAATGGGGGTTTTCTTAGCTACAAGAAATAATTATTATGTCATTGTTGTGAAAGCATTGCTAACATTTCTTTTTTGTATAAAAAATAACATAATTTTCGTGTTAACCAGTTTTACTTCGGCCGAGTATCTTTTTAAAAGATACTTCTTGTTTTGTTTATTCTAGATAACGTTTACCGTGACGATCGCATGTTTCATTAAGTTTCCCCTCGTTTCTACAATAGCCATTGTATGAGCTTTGCTGCCGTTTTCTTGACCTTGGGTACCTTACACAACACATTCCGGACCCACATTCTCCGTCACTCGAACATGCTACCCCACTCGGCGTTGGACCATTATCTAGCAAATTCTGTGTGAGTAAAACTTTGGATTAAGATTTATGGTAGTTTAACACATTTCATATATATATATATATATATATATATATATATATATATATATATATATATATATATATATATATATATATATATATATATATATATATATATATATATATATATATATATATATATATATATATTATACATGCATAATACATAAATTTTTTGTTGGGTTTGACGCCGCACCAATACAGAAGAGGTAATATGACGATTTTCAAAGCTATACTGGTGGAAGACCTGAGGTTGTCTTCCGTGTATTATTTTTCAGGCACAAACGAAACCTGAGTAAAACCACTCACGTTCCATTAGTTTGCTGGATTGCTTCTCCACATGAAATTCATTTTCAGTCCCTATCTAGATTCGAACCTATACAGCGGTCAGCGGCCACCTTAACTACTAGAATATGTACTATCAACTATGTGCAGTCTACTTCTATATGACCTTGACTACATCTTTAATCCTTTTCTTGCTGATAAGCCTTTACCACAGTATATAGTCAGGCTATATATCTTTACAATACATGCAATTGTTTTCCAAAAATATGTAAGCTTTCTATGTTTTTGTTGTTGTTTTGTTTTAATTTTTGCTCTATAGATATAAGAAATTTTTATACATGTACTACCAGCTCAGAGATTTAAAAACGGGTAAAAATCGGAAACTCGAATTTGATGAGCCTGTTCAAAGAAGACAATGAAATGCCCAATATCTCTGACCCGCAACTTAACACCGGCTTATCTCATGTCCCAACCACCCCCACCCCCCAACACCGGCTTGATGCAAAATGGTATTTTGAAAAAGGTAAAAACAAACACGACCACAAATACTAACCGATTCAGGTGATTGACATGTCGGATATCGATGAATTATTTTTGTTTCTGTTTCATGAACGACTAAGCCCCGACAGTCCAGACCACTCTCGCATGGACAAAAGTAGTCGTACAACTCCGGGTTTGCGGAATCATGACCTGGTAAAAAACAACAACATATGAGCCGCGTCACGACAAAACCAACATAATGCGTTTGCGACCAGCATGGATCCAGACCAGCCTGCGCATCCGCGCAGTCTGATCAGGATCCATGATGTTCGCTTACCATTCCTTTTACAAGAAGAGAAACTGATAGCGAACAGCATGGATCCTGATCAGACTACGCGGATGCGCAGGCTGGTATAGATCCATGCTGGTCGCAAACCCATTATGTTGGTTTTGTCATGGCACGTGTATTTTCGTTCTTAAAGAAACTCGCTCGCATTAAATCAAATAATAAACACATTTATCTCATATTCTTCGATGAGATAGTGAAAAATATAAGTGAGATACAAATCATATGACTCTGTTTGAAACTAAGTTTGATATATAATTTTGGTATCCGCTCTTAAAGGTACTCCTAAGAGAGGTGTTTTTTTATTTCTTTTATTATTATTATTATTTTATTTTTATCATTTTTGTTATTTTTTATTCATTTTTTTTTTACATGACGGCACTGAAAAGAATTTTTCGAGAAAAATGTTCCATTTGATGTGCAGGTCTAACCAAATAACTTGTGTGCAACATTTTAGATAATAAGCTCACTCTATTTTTTTCCAGAATAATTATTTCAATTGTGAAAAATGAAATTAATAAGCGTTGCAACGCTTTTCACTCGAATCAAGCTAAGAACACGATTATCAATTTTACCCGTGTATATTTCTTGATTATTTTTTGCATATAATTCGTTTTTGAATGTCGCAGCTGACCTATGTAAAATATAAATTTGAGGTTTTCAGACTATTGGACCTCAGTGGAGTTCCTCTAAGATTCAACGATACAGCAATGAAGAACGCATAGCGTATAATGGATAACGTCATGTCATACATAAATCAACGTCATTTTGGTGCAATTTTGGAAACGTCCGAAAAAAATTATTCGACACCTTTAGAATAAACAAAATATTTTGGCTGTCAAGAATAATACTTTGTTTAAATTATGTAGCGTAGGTAAGACAGAAATACGGTTTCCGTTCTGTGTAATTATACTATTGTGTGGGGTCATAATAAGAAGTTTAACGGAAAAGGCCGAAAAGTTACGATTGCATATATATTGTTTCTTAACTATAAAACGTGTTAAACGACTTACTCAAAGGATAACAACTTTCATTAAACCTTCTTGCCCTCCGACAGAAGCCATGGTCGTGGTCAGAATACTGGCCGAACACAAACCGTTTGTTTGTGTCAGGTTTAGTCAAAGGGTTATGAACGCAACACATAGCGTTCGGACAGTCTGATTGCGTTTTACATGTGACCCCATCAGGAAAGCTGTGTGCATCCAACAGGTATTGCATTTCAACGCTCTTTGGTGGCGCAGCGCGGATCCCCGTGTTCACCCATAGCCCATAAGTGGCTATAAAACATAGAGAAATCTGAAATAAAACTTTAGCACGTGATTACCTTGATAATGTTACAACTCCATTTTATTTTGTCACCATTATATCAAGAAAAATTTGGTAAAAAAAACAACATTTTAGTGTGATAATTATCATAGTTGTTCTTACAAAAGAAAAAAGTGCAACGGCAAATTTCGACTATTTTTAGTACATTTCTGTCACGCGAAGGGGTGTTTTCCACTGACGTCATTATTTTGGGACAATACCATTATGGCGATTCGAATGCATGCTCTTTTTGCCCATAATCATTTTTAGGGAATGATTGGTATATGAGATGAAAATTATTTGCTAGTTTCAGATCAATGTTGGGACGATCATAGAAAATAAACACTGTAAACAAGTAGGCAGTATGGTTATACATACATGTTATAAATAATAAAAAAAACAACAACAAATTAAAAACACTATTCAAAGAATCATGTTACCCAAAATCTTATTATCACCATGCGTTCTATATTTAACTGAGAAAATATCAATGTTGCACCTGTAAATAAATCAATGTACATACTAAAATGTTTAGATGTATGCCATCCGCCATTTTATCGCACTTTCTCTATTTATTTCCCTTATCAGTCAAAGGTGACACGTTCTTTAAAGTCATGTGACATTTTAATATTTCAATCAAGCATGCACTTAAAAGATTTTGATTGAACATTTTTAAGCAAGGCACCAATGCATCTTTATGTATACATATACACATGTATATGCGTATGCGCGTGCGTGTGCATGCGCGCGCGTGTGTGCATGCGTGTGTGTTTTATTAAATACAACAGTGCACTATATCATCATGTTTTATATTGAAAGTCTGAAATTAGGATGCACAGTAATTCAGGAAAGGGAAGAAACTTTGGGGGAGATGAACACAAGGCATTTAAAACAGGCATACAAAATTTGAGTACATACCGAAATGTAAAATGCAATAAAAGTCGGCTATCTTTGTCTTATTAACAATGGTAAGTCATCAGATCTGAAAATAACATTTTTTAAACAATAAACAGAATATAGTAGCAACTCAGATGTGAAGTCAGATGAGAACTATAGCACTGAATAACCTTTTGTTTATGAGATATTATTGGGATCTCTTATTTTTAGTAACAATGTCTGAAGTTCGTTGATCTTTGTCAAGCACAAGTGATAGTACTTAACATGCAAGGTCACATGTGCTGTGTTTCGCTTTTTTGCCAATCATAAGGACTAAGTGACCTCGAGATGATACTGTTCTTGTTTGTATATGTTTTAAGGGCTGCAATCATTGAATGTGGATATTCACTCTAATAGTTTATAAAGTAGACCATAATTTGATTACTTGTACAATACAGTCGTTGTTCTTACGACAATACTTAAACGATTTTAGCTTTAATTTCCATATCAAATTCTATAGGTACACTTTTTGAACCATGGATGTTCAGTAAAAGAATTCGGAATATTTAATCGTTCTTTGCCCCTGTTATTATTAACTTAATCTTGATAGGTCATTGTTTGGAGAGATAACCTTATGTTTGGTTTATTTAATACTAATTTATTTTAGTTTGATTGTGTTTGAAGCTATAAGCTTATTGAAACACTTTCAAAGCCGTTCCTGGAACCAGCCAGTACTATGTAATGAGTGTAAAGTTTCTTGCTCAAGGAAACAACGGCTTACCCCTGACGTGGTTTGAATCCACGCAGCCAACAATCCTCAGATGACTAGCCCGATGCGTAAACTACTCGGCTTCATGTATACTAATGTTTACTAATATCATACCTTAAAGGCACATTATGCCGAAGAAATGCTTCTATTTTCATTTCTCAAGTTTGTATTTCCATTGTACTGTAATAATTATCTTCCAAAACGTTACTCATTGGCCACTTAGCTGAACTTTAACTATGTTTTGCTTCTGTTGCATTTTGGCAACTTTAAAAAAAATAGTGATTTAGTGTTTTGAATGGATGTCAAAAAACTACTATTTTTATTTGTTTGGGTCGTCAGACCAAACAAATAGTGGTAGCGAAATTTCAGAGTCTGATGCTGTTAATTGCAAATGCCGAAAGTAGGCCGCTTTTTTGAAGCGGTTACTTCCCTTTATATGTACACTAACGCCGAAAAAATTCAGGGGAGATCACTGCGTAAAGATGGTCAAATGACAGGCGCATTAATTTTCAAGCAAAATAATTCCCGAATGGTCGAAGATTTCTAATATTGTTTTATCCTTTATAGATATACATGCTTATAATAAACTCCATGATTATTAACATCTGTGTTAAACAACAGTTAGCGTCGAAATAATAAGGGTTACAAACCCTAATTTAGAATAATATGGTTTTCTTCAGGCCTTTTACATATAACTTCACCGTGGCCGAGGGGTCTGGAGTTCAAACCCTGGAAGGCAACTCTTTTTTTTTCAAATTGTTTAAGTCAAATAAACATTGAATTGAATATCAGTGTTGCAATTAGTCTTAAACTCAATTAACTACAATTAAAACGCTGGAAAGCACTGGTGGCACTATACAAAAACAAATTAGTTTATAATCTTACAACCTTCACCTTTCTGACATTCTGAGACCCAAACAAATTCAGCGTCTTCTGTGCTTTGATTACAATTTGCTACTTTTATGACAAATGATTTCACGTTCAACCCTACGCGAAAAGCATGCTCTCAAACCATTATTTAAACTTTATAAAACTTGTGTTTGTCCGTTCTAAAGAAGTAAACATCTACTTGTTTCTGAAGCATAATGAGCCTTTAACTAAATTTAACTTCAGTAATTTTTCTCATAATGAAAGAATAGATCCACCTGCTATGGTTAACAGGAAAAGACTCAAAGTTGTAATGCAGGAGTCGATGGTTCGATCCTTTACCGAGTTGAATTTCTCCGTGCCTAATTATCTCAGAAATTCAGTCTTTCTGCTCATCAATCTCGCCGCTGATTTCAAAATTATTTATCATAATTCGTAGTGACTCTCTTGTGGAGAGATTTGTAGTCACTGGAAAGTTATCCAGGCGGATAATGCCAAGATATTACCAAAAATGTGTGAAAATCACCGCAAAGAGCCAACGAAACTACCAAACTATGGGATAATTAATATATGTTTAGTATACATGAATATGTAATATACATGTATATGTATAATATGCTAATATGTTGTCACGAACGCTTGTCAGATCCTCAAATGATTATATAAAATATGCCTTTAAGTACTGCCCGGTTGAAACGCGGACATTTGTTGTGTAATCTATAAACAAGACTGTTGCACAGGTTTGAATAAATTGTTCCTCATGTACCTCCTCTTTTTCATGCTATATAAACCTTCAGTCGCTTAAAAAGGTACATCGTTTTTTTTCCGAACATTTTTAATAACATTAAAATATCTGTGAAATAATAGATATTGAATTACATAGGTTTGCAATGGCTAAGAAGCCTATAAAGACATTATAAACACATGGCCAATAATGGCCAATACTGGACTGTGAAAGTCAACACGATTGAAACAGTGCAGATTGTTGTCAAAAACATCTTCCTACATTTTCAGTATTATGTATGGACTTGCGCAAATACAAAATTTCTTGGCCAAATAACAAAGATAATGGAAAATTGCACAGTTAATAACAAAAGCAAATGTGATCAGAGCAGTCTGCTGTCTGTGTTGCCGTTTATTTCTTTTTCAGAAGAAAGTTGATATATGCGCCACATTGCTCAGTTAAACCTCTCCTTCTGCTGTGAAGCTCATTTATTCACATTTAAAGGCCCATCGGTCTCATTAATGCTATTATTTTAATTTCTCAAAACCTTTAATTTTTGGTATCTTGTTACAGTTTCCAAACAAATACTCATTGGCCTTACACACGAATTATCTTTGGCTTCCTTTCCTCTGCTGGCTTTTGAAATGATTAAAGTCAATATGTATTTAGTTTGGAAGTCAAAATTCTACTTTGTACATAGGAACATTGTACATTTTGCTATATTAACTGCTTATAACCGCGCATTTAACGCTACTTTCTACAGTTGTTAAACATCCAACATATATACTCTTAATGAATTTTTAGAACATTACTAAACACATGTTGAATTAAAAAAATATAAATTTCGTATGCATGACGTGCCTTTAAAACTTAATGCAATTGGTAAGGTAAAAAAGGACATATATTGAGACCAAAACAGTTTGAAGTGGCTTCATTATTGTCAATTTTATTTGCATGCAGTTACTGCCTTTTTAATAAAACATTTTATAAGCAGTATCAAGATCTGTTCAGTTCATCCGGACAGTGGTTTCTGACATACTGTGTTTACATGGACGGTTTGCTGTCCGAAATGGTGCACCTGGGTTCCACGGCACTCTAAGCCTGCCTGGCACTGACACTGAAAGTCGTGGGTCAAAGTGTCTGAAGAAATAAGTAAAATGTTGATATTAAATCGGGAATAAATTGTGACACGTTGAAATAAAGCAGACAACATAAACATCTATGTGGGTTGTGATAAGTCCTGAAAAAGTAAGACATAAAATCATTAGAAAACATAACAACAATGAACGCAAACACAGAGCAATGTTAATCATGAAGAACATATAAAATAACGGAAAACATCACATAATATTGAGTGAGCACAACAATATATGAACTTCCAAGTCATGATTTTGACAGAGAAAGCTGCATCTCATAAAATGGATCCTTACTTATTATTTTTGAAGTGCTCAAGCCAAAACAAAATCCAGAAATGAAAATACTCGCGAAAATTATAATTTGAACAACAGCCCGGTTTGAATCGGGTGATGCTCCCCGCATAGGTTTTGGACACAGAAAAGTACACCTCTTGAGTTATGTCCCTGGACAAAGTTCAAAGTGCAATAATTCCAAAATTAGGCAAGGCAGAGTAACTGTTCTTTGCACTTGACTTTTAATCAATGAGATCTATCCACCGACTTAGTTTCTTATCGATACCTCTTGTAGTTTCAGAGCAATGTCCCGGACAAAGTTCACAGTGTAAAATTGAAAAAAGGGCAATAAGTCCAAACGCAGGTAATGCAGGGTTATGGTTCTTTTGCATTGCACTTCTATTTAATGAGATCTATCTACCTACAAAGTTTTATGTAAATATCTCCTATAGTTTTAGAACTATGTCCCGGACAAAGTTCAAAGTGAAAAAAAGGAACAAAGGACAATAACTCCAAAAATTAGTCAAGGCAGAGATATGGTTCTTTTGCAATGTCCATCCTGCCAATGAGATCTATTTACCTACAAAATGACTTGTTCATATATATTATACTTTTAGAGCTATGTCCCGGACAAAATTCAAAGTGTAAAAATCAACAAAGGACAATAACTTCAGACTTAGGCAAGGCAGAGTTATGGTTCCTTTGCACTGCACTACTATTTAATGAGATCTATGTACCTACAAAGTTTCTAATAGATACCTCATGGTTTCCGAGTTATGTGCCGTGTACCTAAAAAGTTTCATGCTGATATCTTTTATAGTTTTAGAGTTCTGTCCATGGTTATTTACATACATCATGTATGATAAGTGCCCAATCACTTGCGGAGAAACTGGTTATTACTGGTAAGGTATCAAAGAAAAATTGTTAGGGGTATGACAGACCGCCAAAATATGACCAACGATGTGTTGATTTCGGTATTAAACCATCACAAACAACCTATAGAAAGGCAATTTAAGACTCAAACGGCCATAAATGTTCCTACCTTGCAAATCGCAAGTTTCGTTGAGTTTTCGTTCATTTCTGCAGTAGCCATGATGACCTTGTGATTGGCTTCTCTTGTCCATTGGATAGCTGACACAACACATGCCACTGCCACATTCGCTGTCAGACATACATTCAGTCCCAGACGGCGTTTGTCCATTATCAATCAAATTCTGTTGTTAAAATATAGTAAAGCAAACAAAAAGTCATAGGCCGAATGATTAACTCGTCTTAAGATTGTTGGTCGCATAAGTCTAAACCCCCGTCAGGGACATTGCGTTGTTTCCTACAGCAAGAAACTTTACACCCATTGCTCAGTACTGGTTGATTCTAAGGAGCATTTCAATAAGCTTTATGCTTCCTTCACAATCGAATTAAAATAAATTCTATTTACATTAAAAATGTACATGTTGACGGTCACCAGGAATTATTTATATCCATCAAGAAAAAATATGAAAATTGACCCCTATTAATTGCTGCTGGTCAAAAAATAAAAACACTGATTCGTTTAAATTAATATGTTATGACATAATGTCGGTAGAATCACTGACTTTGCATAATTTGTGAAGAAAACCTTTCTTTTTTTATTGGAACCTAGCTGTGTTGTCACGAGAAAGTCTGTATCCTTGTCAACGCAATGGTCCTTTAAATTATGTGTATCCAATATTGGTCTATGTTGGTTCATAACCATCAAGCTCTCTTGAAACAGTTCAACCTTATCCTGCTTTATCTTTACAGTTTACTATGTGATCAAAAATTGGTGTAGCTTTTGCCACCAAACAATTTGGTCTTGGCGAAATATAGATATGTAATACGCTACGTCCGGAACCGTCCAGTCGTGCGTTTTTTTAAAGATGTTTCTCAATATCGAAAAGGTGAAACAAGCGGCGACTAACATGATAGAGCATCGTCGGACTACGCAGATGTGCAGACATGCATGCTTCCATACTGAAGACATAGGCTTGTCGTTTCAGTGACATTAGTTGTCTAATTGTTAATTTCCAATATGATAAAACTATTTAAAAATTTATTTTAAATGCTTTGTTGTTCTTACCGATTCTGGCGTTTGACATTTTGGATAGCGATGAATGATCTGATGGTTACTTTCGTGGACTACCAACCCTCTACACTCGAGTCCAGACACACACGGACAGAAAAACTCGAACAGCTGAGCGTTCTTACCGTCGTGACCTGTCATAGAAAACACAAGATCTGTCAGTGTGCTCGACTATTCTACCTGGTATTAAAACAAGAGCCTGGATAATATGGAATATTTCTAAGTCCAAAAAGGCAACAGTATTATACTTATGTCAAAATCCATGTAAGTGAACAGTGACCTCCTATATAAAATAAATGTTGAAGTTTCAAACCATTCACTTCAATAGTATTGGAGATACCAACTGTCACGTTTACACGTAATCAAAGTGTGACGCCGACGTCTTTATAAAAAGAACAGTTCTTTATTTATTTATTTATTTATTTATTTATTTATCTATCTATTTATTTCTTTATTTATTCATTTATAGTCGAGCAAAAAATACAACAATGTACTTTCATTACACAGGCATTCAAAAAAAGTCATTTTCACTACCGTTTGTTTACATAACTTTTTCATATGAAATCATAAAACTGTTCCATGTACGCGTACGTTTTCTTTCATTTTCTACCTTTTGAATATATCTTTGTACTCATTTGGCCTTTAAAATTGTATTTCCGGCACGTTATATAAAGTGTGTACACGTCACCGGAATACGTCTTTTCCTTTCACGTGAATCAAGCATTAACATTTTACTGTTTACAGTACAGGTCAGAGAGTACATGATTCCAAGATAGAGATTCTAATCAGTTAGAGTCCTTGTTGGCATCAAATTTATATCTAAATTTATCAAATCGCTATTCAGATTTACCTAAAGGCCAACACGTTTCATTGAATTGTCGAGCCCTTCTACAAAAGCCATGGTCATGTTGTGTGTATGTTTCAAAAAGGAAGCGCTTCCTAGTTTCCGGTTTTGTCAACGGATTGTGTACACAGCATAAGCCATCCGGGCACTCAGCTTGTGTTGTACAGCGTGTACCTTCTTGCCCGGATGTAGAGTGGCATATGGTAAAGACCACCTGAAGTGATACATATATAAATTGATAAAGTCTCATGATATCTCGACATCGAAAGATTGATATGGGTCGAAATCTTGTAACTGCATCTAAAGCTATGCAGAAACGGCGACAAAAAGAGAGTTTGAGAAAAAACAATTTTGAACTATACTGTTCTTCCTTATCAAATTCTTTATGATTTTTGTAAGCATTGTATTAAAATGTGTTTTTGTGCCTTTGTGAAAGATATAATGTCACTGAAAAAGAATATGAACTAAAATGCACTTTTGTTTTTGTTTTTCTTAATCATTCAGTAATTTCTGTTTAAGAAGTTTTCTGAATAATCCATGTATTTATAATGACAAAAATGCACCATCTCATCCCCCCCACCCCTCAACACACACAAAGGAAAAAACAATAACGACAAGTATTAAAAAAAAGGGCGCAAAAAATGAAAGAGCTGATGGTTACTTGTACAAGATAAAGATAATAATATTTTTATATTTAAATATAAAACAAGAACTAAAAACCTACCAGTGCACACAGTAAAAGTATGTTATGTTTACAAGTTGCCATTTTGTATATCTTATTTAGTAGGTTATACCTTATCAATGACATATAGATATGAAACGGCATGCATATATCTTTACTTAGTATCTGAATGTCAAGATTTCAGACCTTTTAAAGGTGGCCAGACTAAGGAACATTTCATATTGGAATCATATTTTCAAATTTAAATTAACGTAATTTTAGTTTTTGTGGTCTCAGAGATGATCTACACCTTTTTAATTCCAAAGATAAAATGAAATCCAATTTTTGATGGTCTCAAAGATCGTTACACAGTTTAAATGGTCTATAAAATGGTAACAGAGTTTAGATGGTTTAAAATATGGTAACACAGTTTGGATGGTCTTAAAAGATGGTAACACAGTTTGGATGGTCTTAAAAGATAGAAACACCGTTTGCATGGTCTAAAAGATTGTAACACAGTATGAATGGTCTAGAAGATGGTAACACAGTTTGGATGGCTAAAAGATGGTAACACAGTTTGGATGGTCTATAAGATGGTAACACCGTTTGAATGGTCTTAAAAGATAGAAACAGTTTTGAATGTTCTAAAAAGGGAGATAATACAGTTTGAATGGTCTAAAAAGATGGTAACACAGCTTAGATGGTCTGAAAGATGGTAACACATTTTGAACAATCTTAAATGATGGTTACACAGCTTAGATCGTCTAAAATGTTGGATGGTATCAAAAATGATATCAAAGTCTGTGTGGTGATCTCAATAAAATTTTGGATAGTCTCAAGACGATATCAAATGTTGGACGGATTCATACCTACACGGCCAAGGACGCACCGTACCTTACAGTACAGTGTTTAGTAGGTTCAACCACCTTTAAGGCAAGTGCAGTGCTCTATTTGCAGAATTTTAAATTTCGTCATTGTTTACAAGACAAGTCGTTAGCTCTCACCGCCATGTTTTCGATGAACTATTGTTTAATATTGTACGCCTGTTTGATCTGTCTCGTAAGTAAAAATCAATTTCCGTTGTATTCTTAATTGTCAAATATAATGTGTAAATGACATTTGTCAGTCATCTGTTCCACTTTACTTTATCTCAGAAGGAAACCAGTTTGTAAATGTTGTTCACTTACCTTTTACGTGACAATTGAATGTTTACCCGGAAGTTCCAATTGACATTTGACTGGTACTCACGTTTAAAAGAATACACGAATAACATATTAAATGATATACTTTCTTTCAAAAAATAAAATATGTAAAGAATTAAATTATCAAATGTTGGTCACATCCGGTTCCGGTTTATCTTTGGATAGAAATGTCTGGCTGACTAAACACCATGTTTGTTCCATGTGTCAAAAGGTGACACATTATGTTTGTTTTTATATATTTAGATTGACGGCGGCCTTCCGCCGGAAGAAGGAGTTTGTAAATCGGATGCTGATTGTGCTACAGAGGAATGCTGTGTTGGTATCGACCGGAAAAGATTCATATTCTCTCACCCAACTTCCGGTATATGCCGACCACTGCGATACCAGGGTCACGCTTGCCACGTGTTTGCGACACTCGACCCATCAAATCACAATTTGCACGTGAATTATTGCCCGTGTTCAGATGGACTCGAATGTAGAGGAACGTCCGTGGATAAGTTGAATTCATCAAACATCATACACCATGATCCAAAATGCTTACCAAAACAACTTTAATTGTATTTGCTGATGCTTTTTTATTCTGATACGATTCAGACAGATTAAAATATTCCTGTTAACATAGTTTTATTTTGTTTCCTTACCAAAGGTAATTTAAACTGGACAATTTGAGTTTTGTTTATTTTTAATCAGGTAAAAATCTAAAAAAAGAAATTGATCACTTACAACTGATGAAAGTGAGCACAAATAAAAGTTCGCTCGCGTATCTCACTAGGGGCGCATTGGGATTTGCAATCCAAAGGTCGCAGGTTTGATCCTCGGGCGATGCAAAATTTCTCGTGTCAGTTGATCTCTGACTTTGTCAGTCTATGACTATAGTTGTTACCTAATGGGTCTCTTCCTAGCTCTAGTAACATTACTAATACTAATGTATCTATACAAGTTAAGCTCTAATACCAATGTATCTATACGAGTTTAGCTCTAATACCAATGCTAGCTCTAATACCAATGTACCTATACAAGTTTAGCTTTAATATTAATCTATCTATATAAGTGTAGCTCTAATACCAATGTTAGCTCTAATGCCAATGTATCTGTACAAGTTTAGCTCTAATATATATGTATCTATAGAAGTTTAGCTCTATTACCAATGTATCTATACAAGTTTAGCTCTAAAACTAATGTAGGTCACATCCTAATATCTATGTATCTATACAAGTTTAGCTTTAATACCAATGTATTTATTCAAGTTTAGCTTTAATATCAATGTTAGCTCTAATACCAATGTATTCATACAAGTTAGGCTCTAAAACCAATGTATCTCCACAAATTTAGCTCCAATTCAAATGTATCTCTACAAGTTTAGCTCTATTATCAATGGATCTATACAAGTTAAGCTCTAATACCAATGTATCTATACAAGATTAGTTTTGATACCAGTATATCTATACAAGTTTAGCTCTAATGCAAATGTATGCATACAAGTAAGGCTCTAAAACCAATGTATCTCCACAAATTTAGCTCCAATTTAAATGCATCTCTACAAGTTTAGCTCTATTATCAATGGATCTATACAAGTTTAGCTCTAATACCAATGTATCTTAACATGATAAGTTTTGATACCAATGTATCTATAAACGTTTAGCTCTAATACCAATGTATCTCTACAAGTTAAGTTCTGATACCAATTTATCTATACAAATTTTGCTCTGGTACCAATGTAAGTCTGGCTTTGATACCAATTTATCAAAACAAGTTTAGCTCTAATGCCAATGTTAGCTCTACAAGTTAAGCCCTACAATGTAATACCAATGTATCTCTACAAGCTTAGCTCTAATACCAATGTATCTTTACAAGTTTAGCTCTAATACCAATGTATCTTTACAAGTTTAGCTCTAATACCAATGTATCTTTACAAGTTTAGCTCTGATACCAATGCATCTATACAAGTTTAGCTCTAATACCAATGCATCTATACAAGCTTAGCTCTAATACCAATGTATCTTTACAAGTTTAGCTCTAATACCAATGTATCTTTACAAGTTTAGCTCTAATACCAATGTATCTTTACAAGTTTAGCTCTAATACCAATGCATCTATACAAGTTTAGCTCTAATACCAATGTATCTATACAAGTTTAGCTCTAATACCAATGTATCTTTACAAGTTTAGCTCTAATACCAATGTATCTATACAAGTTTAGCTCTAATACCAATGTATCTATACAAGTTTAGCTCTAATACCAATGCATCGATACAAGCTTAGCTCTAATACCAATGTATCTCTACAAGTTTAGCTCTAATACCAATGTATCTTTACAAGTTTAGCTCTAATACCAATGCATCTATACAAATAATTCTAATTCCAATTACTTCCGGCAATTTTCGCTTTAATACCAATGTATCATTGCAAATATAGCTCCAATTCCAATTTATCTCTACAAGTTTAGCTCTAATACAAATGTATCTTTGCAAATTTAGCTTTTATACCAAAGTATCTTTACAATGGGACACTTATGTCAACGTATTGTTCTCATTCCGATGTATATCGGCTCTTTTAACATTCTATCCCCCAATACTATTGTATCTCTTTAAATCTCCACAAAAATGGGTTCTTATAACAATGTTTATCGGTTCTTTTACCATTCTATCTCTTAGCCCCAGTTCTAATGTATCTCTACAAATAAATCCTAATAACCTCTACAAAAATGTGTTCTTATAACAACGTTAATTGGCTCTTTTACTTACCATTGTAATCTAATAATTGGGATCTTATACCAGTTTACACGAACCTCTACTCTACAAAACGTATGTATTTCGACTCTTTCAAGAATGTATCTCTTTTCGGCCTTTAGGTAAGTTTAATCAATATTGGCATAAACATATATTAGCACAAAGAAAACAGAATGCTTTGGTCAAAAACCGAAAGTTCACAATGTGAATAATTCATTACCATAGCAAACGTACGCATGCCTTGACCTTTAGGAAATTAGCAAAATCGAGAATAATATAAACATGTTTTGAAAACTGAGAACATGTACTTTTGAATCAAATGTCGAGCTCGTGTCTGTACCACTTCCATCCATTGAAGGCCCAATATGCCTCAGAAATTTATTATTTATTTTTATTTCTCGAAAGCTTTTTTTCATATTTAATGCCCTGTTATAGTTTCCAAAACGTTACTCACAGCGTCAGAGGCAAATTACCTGAACCTTCTTTTGTATCTGTTGCTTATTGGTAACTAGTACGGTTGTAGTGATTTGAGCCGTGTCATGACAAAACCAACATAATGGGTTTGCGACCAGCATGGATCCAGACCAGCCTGCGCATCCGCGCAGTCTGATTAGGATCCATGCTGTTCGCTTATCAACTCTATTACAAGTGGAGAAACTGACAATCCTGATCAGACTACGCGGATGCGCAGGCTGGTCTGGATCCATGCTGGTCGCAAACCCAATATGTTGGTTTTGTTGTGACACGACTCATTGGAAGGCAAAATACTACTTTGTTCACATTTTGTTAATTTAAGGCGGATAATTTTACATCCAGCACTACTTTCATTAGGTGATAAGCATCTAACATGCTCTAAAACCATCTTTAAAGTATCATATAACTCATGTTTCTAAAGAATGAAAAAATATACGTTTCCGAGGCATTATGTGCCTTTAATTGTTTTTGTTATTTATCAATACTTTGTAACTTCTGTTTCTAATAATAATTTCAAAATCGCACAGTTGACAAAATCGTTACTGCTCGGAGTCACACGGATGCTTTTCATATTATTACACGGAAAATAAAGATCATATCTAAACATGTATCTTGTATCGATCGAATCAGATGTTGAGCACGTGTCTGTACCAGGATGAATTACATGTATTATATTGTACATGTATCTACTATATGTAAGACATCCAAGAATTTTTTTTTTTTTGATCTGGGTTCACTTGTATTTGCTTGTTGCATTATATTTAGTTTATAAGTTATATTCGTTTGGTTAGATATATTTGGTTGATATTGGTTGAGTTGTGTTGAGTGATTTTGTCTTGTGTCAGTGAATTTATACTTACTAGGTCTAGTATAATAGTATCTTTTATATATTTTTTTTTATATCATATAACAGACAGACAGACAGACAGACAGACAGATATCTTTATTCACTCAAGCACATTTGTACAATATGAGGATTTTCTAATATAACACATATATAATACATTAGTTTTCCAGCAGTAAACATACATAATTTTGCACATATATTTTTTTCCTATAATGTAAACAATATGGTGAATTATTATAGTGTGTTTTCTGGGGGGGGGGATTCGGATATTCTTAATTCTAGATAATTTAACAGTTCATCTTCATAAGAAAAACAAGAAATATTAATAAAAACAAAAACAGAAAACACACATATAAAAAGAATGTATTAAGAGATTCAATCAAGTTATAAATAAAACTTTACGTTCAGATATAATTTTGAGATTCTCCCTTGATTACTGTATGTCAGTCACGCTTCAATATAGATCTTGACCTTGGTGTACTGTCCTAAGATGATAATTTGGTCTTAACGGTACATGGGAAAGTCGAAATACGGGGTTATCTGGCTTATTATCCGATATCGTAATAGTAAATACTTACTGATACTATATAGCATGATTCTTACGGACTCGTTTGTGTATTACCGTTATGGCTCTGTTGGTAGGTCGGAATATTTGTAACTATTAGTGTTTTGTACTCATAGGTTCGAACCCCACTTAGTGTCATTTTATTACCACAGTTTTTCCTTCTTATTCTTTTTTATCATTATTCTTTATTCATTTTTCTTTTCCCTTTTGTTTTCTTCTTATAATATATATTTTATAGTATATATTTATTTTTTGTATTTCCATTCTATTTTCTTTTTGCATTTTTTTTTATCGCAGTGTAATAAAATATTCCAAATCACATTCATGTATGTATATGAAAAAAACGGTCAAACTTGTTTTCTGAACAATTGGCTGTTCTGAGGTAAAAAAAAATGTGTCTTACTTCTCAACAAAGGCTCAAGTTATCATCCTAGGACAGTATTTATTATTATTGTTATTATTACCATTCTTGGAAAATAGTAATAATAATAATAATAATAATAATAATAATAATAATAATAATAATAATAAAAATAAACAAAATAAATAAAATAAGTATATTTTTGAAAGAGTTTTGAAGCGATAAGTTTGTAATTTAATTACGCTGTTTCGGGTAAAATTCAATCAGGTACTGCCCTAGGATGATAACTTGAGCCTTTGTTTACATAACAAAGACCAATAACAATGCGAAAAATAGGTTAGGCAGATCAATGCCACAACCTATAAAAATGAAAATAAAACTACATATTATCATATGACTTGTTAGCGTAGTAGGTAGAGCAATCGTGTCAGTAATGTGTTTTACCCGTACAGGCAGAAGTTCGACTACTGGTAAGACACATTTTTTTTTACCTCAGAACAGCCAATTGTTCAGAAAACAAGTTTGACCGTTTTTTTCATATACATACATGAATGTGATTTGGAATATTTTATTACACTGCGATAAAAAATACAAAAAGAAAATAGAATAGAAATAAAAAAATAAATATATACTATAAAATA